GAGTGAGAGAGAGAGAGAGAGATATTTAGTTAGAGAGAGAGAGAGAGAGAGAGAGAGAGAGAGAGAGAGAGAGAGAGAGAGAGAGAGAGAGAGAGAGAGAGAGAGAGAGAGAGAGAGAGAGAGATTTTACCTTTTCAAGTTCCTCGTTAGACATTCCAACCCATCTCAAGTTCTCAACCATTCTCTCTGATTGGAATAAATGATCACTATTATGAATATCTCCAATTTCAATGGATGTGTGAATATTATTGTCTATATATTTGAAGGGACTCATTTGATCAGGCTGTTGTTGGTTACTACTCTGGAGAAAAAACGAGAAATCGTCGACCGGAGCGTACAGCGGGTCCCGCTGGTTATTTTGAAGATCTTGAGCAACTGAAAGAATTTCTTGCACAATATCATGAGGTTGATTCTCATGGAAATTATTAGGGCTTGAATATGACGTCATCATCCCTGGATTGTAATTAGGGAAATGAGGCTGTATGTTATAATCCTGGACCTCCAATGCAGGCAATGAAAACCTATTCTGTAACCTTGAACATTCTAATGCTATGTCAACCTGGAAAAATACAATTTAAATATTAACAACAGTGTTTTTTTTAAATAATATGTATTAGCAACAATTTTTAAATAAAATATATATACTAAAAATATTAACAACAATTTTTTTTTGGATAAAGTATTTAACAATAATTAAAAAAATCAAAAACTTAAAACTAAGAATGTAAATATCAATATAAACATATAGTACGTTATTTTCGCATGCCACATGTATGTATGTGTGTATGTAGTTTCATGAGATTAAATGTAAAATAAATAAATAAAGAAACATAATAAAAATGAAATTACCTTAGATGGTGGAAATGGTGTGGGTGCACAATTGGAGTATGGATTGAAAGCCTCGTCTGATAAGTAGTGTGCCCAACTCGCGTCGTTTGATGAAGAAGAACCAGTTATGTTAATTGGAGTCGATAATGAAGTCAACGGCAATTGATAGTCAACGCTCGAACTTGATGAATTTACATAATGATCTCCAACTTTCGGGATATTCAAACTCTTCTTGAATACTCGGCAAAGCGCATAAGCATCCTGATTTAATTTTAAAAATTATATAAAATGATCAAAATGTAAGCGATGGGAAATTGGCCGACGGACTTTTTAACCAAAACAAAAGGAATGTTCGTATACAAAAAGATTTCACTTAGTGAAGATAATTTTTTCGGTTGCATTACCTTTACATCGATCATGCATTGATATACGCTACGATAAAATACCCGTACTTATATGGTTTAATTTTATTTTATATGAAATTAATCGGGTTTAACAAATAAAAGATTTTGTATTTTTATGCATAAATACAAAGTAATGTTCATGCATGTAGTTTTTAGGGGAAGGTGAGTCATTTTAATTAAGAAATATAACCTTAATTTAGTATATGTCCAAAAATTAAAGCAAGAAAGTAAGAACATTAATAAAATTTGAAATACGAATAAAAACACAAGTTTTACGATAATACGAGCAAGTAAAGTTAGCGTAATTAAGGGAAGTTAAACCTGCAAGCCGGTAGGAATTTCACATTCCCTTTCGTCTAATCGGTATTCGTGCATAACCCAATCGGTACGAGATCCATGAGGAGCTCTCCCTCGGTAATAAACTAGGGTTTTCTTCATACCCACTGCCCTTGCCTGTGAATTTACCTTTCTGTCCTTGCCTGTCGCCTTCCAGTATCCGGCTTTTGTTGCCCGATTTGTCCTCGACCCGTTCGGATATTTACGGTCACGAGGGCTAAAAAAATACCATTCAAGATCTTTGCTTGGTAATAAAGACTTTCCTGCAAAATAATAATAGGTAACATATGTAGAAATAAATTAAAAAGAGTACGTTGCATGGGAATCTTACTCTTATAAAGTTAAAATAGCATTTATATTTGGTAATACTAATTGTGATGAAATTAGTCTATATTTGACTAAAGTAGCTATATTTGTTGGATTATGCTCAATAAGTACTCATGTGTTTTCTTAATTAATTATATTTCAGTTGCTTTATGTAATAAGACTGATAATTTTGGATGATTGCATATATCTTTGTGAAAGATATTACTTGAAAGGCAAATTACAGCAACCCCTAAAGTATGTTCATATTACGAAAAAACACTTATGTTTTGGATAATTACAACTACCCACCAACTATGTATTATTTTACACGTCCAGCATTACAGTGTCAAACTTACTATTTAACGAGGGATCTTTTTGTAAGACAATATTTCGTTGAGAGTGTAATTATCGAAATAGGATGGGTATTTTCGTAATTTGAGCTTATTTCAGGAGGTGGCCGTAATTTACCCTACTTGAAAAGATGTAAGAACCATCCAGAAATTTCCTTTTTCATTCAAGTATTGAAAGCATATATATATATATTAATCAGAAATGTAGAGTTCAAAGATTTATTTTATTTTTTTAATTTTTTTAATTCTTTTTGGGTTTCATCATAAAAAGGGGTTGAAGAATTGGAATTGTAAGACTGAGGTTTCCTTCTCAATTATACCTTCCTTGGTTTTCACTTTATTCAGTTCCAATCTTTATTTTCACATTATTCTTTGATTTAATGATATTCCAAGTATATATAACATAATGTTATTATGAATTAAGAACATGCATGATAAATTATATATCTACAAAAGTATATATATATAATAATCATTAAATTAAATGAAAATAAAAGGGTGGATGCATGGTTATGTAGATACCTGGAAGGTCCCATGGCTCACATTTGTAGAGATCAACTTCAGGAATAATTTCGAGATCGATTTTACGGCCGTTGATCTTTCTGTTGAGGTAATAAGCAACGAGTTCTTCGTCGGTGGGGTGGAATCGAAAACCAGGAGGCAATGAAACCGGCGCCATATATATATATATCCAAATTAATTACTCTCCCTACCCTTTGAAACGAAAACCCTGACGGAAAAATATGTATTGTATATATATATGTATGTACTAGCTTGGCCTCTAGTCCAAAAAAATTAGAGACCAAGCCTGAAGAATCAAGAACTATACAGCTGCATGTAAAAAAAACAAAAACACAATTAGTTGCACAAAACTTATCTCTTGCAAGATTTAAAGAGAGAGAGAGAGAGAGAGAGAGACCTTAATTGATTGAATGGACAAAAAAGGGAAAAGGGAGGGAGGGAGGTTTGAGAAGTTGGGGGGTGGAAGGGGGGTTTTGATATAAGAGAACAAAAAGAGAAATATAAAATTAAAATAATGAAAAAGTAAATGAGGGGAGGTGCCACCCTATACCACCAACATTTGCTTTTTCTTTTACAAAAAAAAAAATACTATTTCTTTACTAGTCTTTCTTCTCAAGCTCCCTCTCTCTCTCTCTCTCTCTCTCTCTCTCTCTCTCTCTCTCTCACACACACATATGTACACCCAATATTTATATCCATTTATTCCGTTAATTAAAAAAATGGTGTCCACATATATATATTTATTCTATATGGGCCCTCAAATGTTAATTAGAAAATAACTTTTTTATACATATTTCACACATATATATATATATATATATATATATATATATATATATATATATATATTGTCCTTAATTAATTAATTAATCATAGTGGTTGAAAGTTAATGATGATTGCGTCGATCATTATATCAACTAAAAAGGGGGTTTTCACTTCTAATTAAAAGAAACAAAAACATATATATGTATGCAATTAATAATGCATGCATGCAAAAAAAAAATAAAAAAAATTGACAAACATATTAATTAGAAGATAGATATAGATATAGGAAATGTGTGTGTATAGTATGAATGAAATGATCCGATGCTTGGGGATTGTCCTTTCTTGGAATAAGAGATTGCCTGTTGTCCACGTGGTGGCGTGTCATTTGATACATTACCTAACTCAACTGTTTTCGTTTAAGGATCTTTTATTTTAATTTGCTCCCAACACAAAAAAACATTAAAAAATAGAGACAACTTATTACACAAACGAATTCTATTCATCATCATTTGCAGCCTTTCACAATTAACATATGAATGTTCCATTCACATGCCCTAATCCTATAATCATACAATAAAATGAAAAAAAAAAATATATCAGTATTATATAAACGAATTGAGTCGAGCTAAATGTTTGATTGTCTGAATGCATGATTGCATGTCAAGCCTGTTTGAACTTTTATCGGGTTTTTAAATTGTGTTTGAGCTTAGTTTGAGTACCAAACGAGCTTTAAATCTATTCGAACGCACTTGAGCTCGAGTAAATTTTTTTTTTTGTACTTATTTTTGTCATTTTTTTCTAATTGTGCTCAACCTCGAGCGATTTTCATGGTTTATGAACCGAGATTAATATAAATTCAAACTTGGTTATTTATGTGAACCGAGCTCGAACGAGCTTTTAACAATTGATCTTGAATAGCTGATCAAATAATTTTATTTGATTTAAAATTGGAAAAAAAAAAAAGATATGTTTTTAAAACAATACAACTTTTAATTTATGATGCGATGTGTATTTTTTTCCTTCGTAATATAATGTTCCTTGTGGTTGCAGGTTGTACTTAATTAATATGGGACAGAGGAAGTAGTTAGTTACGTACTTAGTTTTCCTCAATCAATCGGGTTAACACTTTGTATCTTGATTTATATTAATTCACAAATGATCCCACGTACTAAATATAAATTGTAGAATTAAATATTTATAAATTAATATAGTTGGGACTAGCAAAATTCTATTAATTCTACTGAAATATTACACTATTGAATAAAAATGTAACATGTTATCACAAAGTTGAAAATGAAAATATTATTATTAAAAAAATATTATTAAGTTATTGAGGTTCTATGTATTTTCATTATTAAGTATTAACATGTCGATAATAACGCAAATAGCCGCTACGAAGGAAAAACCTTGATTGTTTGGAGACAATTTCAATCCTCATCAAGTTACAAAAAATAATTTTTATTTTATATTATTTTATTTTAATAATACAGGTAAAAGTGAATTATAAACACAATTGATAAATAATTAATGCATATTTTTAAATTATAATATAAAATAAAAATATTATTTTATCACGAGGTAGCTACCTTTGCCACGTGAAATAAAGAAATTTCCAACATGGCAGAATTTTGCATGACAGAATCACTTGTTCCAGTCTTGTCTCTTTAACCTTTTCATCAATCCATCTTTTTGTGCTTTTCTCCTTTTTTGGGGTTTCTGTATATTTCTTCTTATAAATATAATATATAATAATAATTCTTTTAAATTTATTAATTTAACTATAAGATGCCAACTTATTAGAGCGGCCATTGTAGTTTATAGGTTTATGGGTTACATATATGTTGAAATACATCATGTGGTTTTAAATCGTAAATTTATATAAGTAACAATTCATTTAAGTACACATACACATGAGTGTGTGTTATTATGTATAGATCAATGATATAAAATTACATGGTGTATTTTATCAGGTGTAAGTTGTACAAAACCTAAATTATGAGGGCATTATAATTAAAAAAGCACTTGTCTAAAGATTCTTAATGAGTCCCATTTTCTTAATTATTAATTAATTAACCTTAAATAAACTATATAATGAAGTAATGGAACTTCTTGTTCACAATGCAGGGTTATATTTTAAACTTTTTTCACTTTAATTAAAAAATGTTAATGAAGGATGGGCATACCTGATGTAGATGATTAGTTGTACTAATTATCTATTCAACAGTCTGAACCCACTAAAAGAAAAGCTGAATCCAGATTAATTATCTAAGTTGATAAATGATCAAGTATTGGTATTTGTGTTTCTTATGAACCATCACTCACTAAGAGAATTGGTACTTCGCCTCTACTATCACACTAGAATAGGGAACGTAAAATAACTTGATATGCTAGCTACCCATGGGTATCCACCCCGTTTAGAATCTGTTACCGAAAAAATTAGGGTTTGGTAATGCTTTTAGTAAAAGAAATACAAACCGTCACGATCTTGGTAAGAATTTGTTTTCGAATGAATTTTGCAAATTTGCTTCAACACGAAGATGGGGAGATTTGGCATAGGTTGGAGTGGAGACATGTGTATGGGTATTGTTGAGTGTATAAATTGCGCTCAATTATATTACATGTACTTTCGGTTGGACTTTTGTGTAATTTGATATGATAAATACATTGATATGTTGTTTAATTGACTGTGTATGAGAATAAAGAGAGAGCTCGAGGTTGTAGTGGGCAAGGAGGCGAAACAACGTTAAAAATCCGAGATAACCGGATGAAAAACCCTTGTTGCCTTATGGGACCTCAATTCCAGAATTGTAACGGAATCTCAGACCGGCTTTTGAGATCCTACACCGGGTGAAATTCACCGGGTAGATCTTTACCATTCATAGACACACTAACACACACACACCCACATTGGTATGTGTAGATCAACGGTAAAGATTCACCCGGTGTAACCTTCACCGGGTGTAGGATAGATAAAACCTCTCAGACCCCAGTTCTAGATAATAGGATCGCAATCTGTTGAGTATAGATTTTGCATTTAATACGTTTATTTTACGTGGATCTTTGTTTAAACTAGTTGTATTTGTGCTTTAATTAATTGATTTTGTGTTTTATAGGTGAAAAACGAGAATTAAGTGTCCATGAAAGAAAAATGATCAAAAATAAAGGAAAAAGTGCAAATAAGGAGATAAATTAAATTGGAAGAAGAAATCTCGCAACAGCTTTGGCAGTGTTTACCATTTCGAGCATATCTCTCTCATACGAACTCCAAATCAGCTGATTTCGGCGGCATTGGAAAACTAATTTCAAGGGCTACAATTCTTATTTCACGCAACAACATTCTAAAATTCGGTCTCCAGCATTGTCAAAATCGAAGAACAGATACTGATAGGGGAAAGTGGCGGAAATTGATTCCTAGTAGGTTTTCACTACTTCCTTATATCAAGAAAGGCCTATAAAAGCAACAATTCTCTACACCATAAACACGAAATTTTACACCACAAAACGTGAAGAACGAAGATCAACGAAGACTAAAGCATAGTTTTTCTTATTTATTTTATTTATTCTATTTGATTTATCATAAGAATTACGAGTAGCTGAACTCTTTTATTATAGGATTTTATTTTGAACCCTATGTGGGATTTATGAACCATTTTCCATGATTTTATGCAAGTTTTTAAACCAGATTATTTCTTCTACATGCTTTATTAAGTGCATGAAACTGACCACTTTATATGCTTTTCGGTTATTGTTAATCCCATGAATCAGAAGATTGGGTTAATAATTAGAACTTGGGTAGAAGAGCATTTGTAGTATTAACATAAGAATATATAGTTAATCTCTTAGGTAGCTATTATTGAGATTTGTGCTTCATGATGTGTTCTAGAATTAATTGCGTAGGAATACAGTAATTGAATCTAGAGTATTAGAATTATAATACACGCGAAAGTGGGTTATGGTTAATTTAGTATATCAGATTAGTAATCCGATTTATAACTTGCATAATTGGAGAAATTGGGGAATTAATAATCACATATGGGGAAGAATAAAATCATATGCTTGTTTATTCTGATAAATCTTCGTGTTTAATCGCTTTCTTGCTCTAACTTGTTTAATTTGCTTTAATTTAATTTATGATTATTAATCAACTTTCGACTGTGTAGGGTATGCTTGATAATAATTGGTAGAATTTAGCGACAAGGATTAGGTAATTAAATATTCTCTGTGGGATCGATATTCGGACTTAATTGTCCATTATATTACTTGTTCAATACGTGCACTTGCCTGTTTGTAGTACCACCAACACAATCCAAAATTGAACTAAGATCTTGGATCGCATTCGAGAAAGGTGATCAAAATAGGGCGAATGACAAAAAGGTCTATCACAAGGGACTTAAATGCACATTGGTCCACAAAAAAAAAAACAAAAAAACAGTCTTTCAAATAAACCTATCCCCATATCTTTAGTCTAAAATACCTTCCATAATATAATTATTATCAATTCCATCCATTATGCTCTAACTTCCTTAATATTACACATTGA